CACCACTGGACAGGAACACCAGACAGAAAATTAACAAAGAAACAAAAGAGCTAATAGAGGTTATGGCCCATAGGCAATAGATAATCCCAACTTACCAACAGTCAAAAGAAAAAAGGGATAGATCCCACACACAATTTCGCCACCATCACCAAATCAAAAACAAATGAACAATAATCAATGGTCATTAATATCCATCAACATTAATGGTCTTAACTTGCCTATAAAAAGACACAGATTAGCAGAATGGATAAGAAGACAGAATCCTTCCTTCTGCTGCATACAAGAAACTCATCTCAACATCAAAGACAGACGGTACCTAAGAATTAAAGGTTGGGGAAAGATCTTCCAATCAAATGGACCCAAGAAACAAGTAGGGGTAGCAATCCTAATATCCTATAAATTGGACTTTAAACTAAAATCAGTCAAAAGAGATGAAGAAGGTCATTTCCTACTCATCACAGGAGAAATGCATCAGAATGAAGTCTCAATTCTGAACCTTCATGCCCCAAATACAAAGGCATCCACGTTTGTAAAGAAACATTACTAAAACTCAAATCACACATAAAACCACACACACTTGTAGTGGGAGATTTCAACAACCCACTCTCACCACTGGACAGGAACACCAGACAGAAAATTAACAAAGAAACAAAAGAGCTAATAGAGGTTATGGCCCATATGGACTTAACAGATATCTATAGAACATTCCACCCAAATATAAAACAATTTACCTTCTATTCAGCGCCACATGGAACCTTCTCTAAAATCGACCACATACTTGGAAACATAGCAAACCTCAACAAGTACAAAAAAATTGAAATAACCCTCTGTCATATCAGACCACCATGCTTTAAAATTAGAATTCAACAACAACAAGAACTACAGAAAACCTACAAACTCATGGAAATTAAGTAACACCCAATTGCACAATTCATGGGTCCAGGAAGAAATAAAAAAAGAACTTAAAGATTACCTAGAATTCAATGAGAATGTGGACACAACATATCCAAACCTGTGGGATACTCTGAAAGCAGTGCTAAGAGGAAAGTTCATAACGCTAAATGCCCACATGAAGAAACAGGAGAATAATCACACTAAAGAATTAACAGCACAACTGAAAGCT